CACACGAAATATAGAAAGATAATTTCATAATTTTAAAACATGCTTATGTAAGCCGCTAAATATAAATGCTATAAAAATATATAATAATTGTTAAATAGAATATTATTTATCTACATTGTTAAATGTTAAATGTTGAATTTGTATAACTAAATATTATGTAAAATTTGACGAATTCGTACGTGAGATCTATATATGAGTAAACATATGTAAATGAAATTGATATTATGATTGTGTGACACCAATTTAAATGAATAAAGAACATTTAATTTTAGAAAAATATTTTATTTGCTTCGAAAACAGCAATTAAAATAATTTTCATTAATCACAAGCAAATCATTCGAAATCGTAGGCGAGTTTGTGACCGAAATTTTGTCTATCTTTCGCTAAATTGATATTTTTAATTACTCTTTTAATTACTATAAAATACTTTCCATACTAATAAATAATAAATAAATGTATTATCTATAATTTTCTAGACTTTCTAGACAAGGTTTAATAGATATATCTATTAAACTTTTTATAGATATATCTGTGGGGAAATCAAGCAGGCTAGACTTGGAGGAAAAACAATTGGACTAGTCATTTTATTTATCATTAACTTTTATAATCAATAAATTTTATATATTTTCATACAAGTGGAGTTTATACTTTTATATTCATAGCTACTCCCACATATCTATTAAACCTTTTATAGATATATGTATTAAACCTTGTCTAGAAAGTCTAGCATATCACTCGACTGTGTTATTTGAGGCACTCGACAGTTTGTATACACAATAACTCAGTTCGTATTAAAGCGTCAAATACAATAAATACAGTAGATCAATAAATCATTTTCAGCGGCCCGTCATGCTTTTCTAAATAATACGGGATAAAAGAATTATTATAACAAATGCTTTATCTGAAAATAGTCGACTCTAGTATTCAATAAATTCACTTAGATAATAATGATAAATATTGAACTTTATTTTTCAGTAAATAATAGTACATGCAAGTACATATACATATAACTATAAGACGGTGGAGGCTCAAAATTTCGCTCAGAAATATTTTTAATTTTACACAATTTTTTGCAAAATTCTTTATCTAGATTTTATAAAAATCGGTTCTGGTGCCGTCTATTTTAATTGAGATCGATTGATTTTTTATGGTGGTTCAATTGACACAGATAACTTTTGTGCAGCTTAGAGGTCAGAGTTAATATTTTGTACAACTCTTGCTTAAGAGAAAAATCTTATGTAGTGAAACATATACATGTAATTGAGTATGCTGAAAAATCATAAAATTTATTAAAATTAAAACCTAGTACAGCGTGACTATTTTTAGATGATATAGTAACGTTACTGCTCAGTCTAGTTATGAATATGACCCAGGACTATTAAATAAAATTTGCATTTGAGCTAACTTTACATATGTATTATAGCTGTTATATTTTTATATTTTATAGGAGGTATTATATTGGTCATTTGGCGAGGAAAAGATGTTGCGCATTTCCCTAAAGGCAATTTGCATAACCTTCCCGATATGTGTAAGTGATATTAGACTTAATCGATAGAAATTGAGATTTAGCTCTTTAGATGCGTTTTGACTTTTATTTCAAAAATTATCGAAGCAATTTTTCATTATGTTTAAAACAACTTATACTATATGTAATTTATTAATTACATGTAGTATAAGTTATATATAAGTTATATATATATATATATATATATATATATATATATATGTAATTTTATTAATTATAGTACAGCGAAACACGTTCCTTTAAATCATTCATTAGTCCCAATTATAATGAATTTATATAATTCAACTAATATTTGTAGACCTCTACTATTTTAGGGTTATTGTATTGCATGAACTCTGTCGCCAGAAACGGTACGGCCGATCTGTGCCAAAAATAATTCATCACGATTTTCAAATGCTTTTAAACGATTTTTCATTTTATAGAGCGATTTAGGTTTTTTTTTCGAAAACGTGTATAAATTTTTTTGCATTTTTTTAGAAATTCGAAATATTATAAAAATAATAATAGTAATAATAATCATATTTAACTCTTTTAAATCGATTCAGAAGTTTTTCAGGAAACGTCTATGGAACTCAAATTAGAATACAACACATCAGAAAAGTGACTTTTGACCTATCTCTCTATTTCATACTTTGATGAATTTATAAAATTAAATCATTGTCGAAGGGCCGTAATATTTTAGTTCATTTAATATGACCATGATCTATATAAAAACATCAAAATCGTCAAAAAACGAATTCTGAACATTCAATTATAAAGAAACATTTTGGCCAATCTTTGCCGGAAACTAATCTGTGCGATTCCCAATCAATATCCAATATACTCTACTTTTATCTATGCCAATTTTTTTGAAACAGTATTTGGGTTTTCAAAATCTATTAAGGATTGCGGGCTAAAACGTGGACGATTTCTTTTTTTTTATTCATTTAAAAGAAATTAATCATTGGAAGTTCTTACCGAAAGGTTTTTAAATATTTGAAGTAGGTGCAGCCTTTTACAAGAAAACGTGAACCATTGTTCGTTAAATCGGCTCTATCTCACACACACACATATTATATACTTTTGCCAGATTTAATTTTATTCGATTCGAACGACTTGAATCGTCGAGAAAAGATGTAATCAGCAAATCGTATTTTTTGGCGAAAACATAAACTTCTTCGGGAAGTTGATAAATAGATGGTAATAAAAAGTTGTATTAAGTTAGTATGTTAAATAGCATTTAAGATGAAAAATGGATATATGAAATGTTGGTTAAAATAATGAATAATGAATGAAAATAAATTGAACGTGGCATTTAGCCTTAGGGAATTTGCATGAACTTCCCGAAATGTGAAATAATTGACTTAATCAACCGAAATTGAGGTTTAGATATTTAGGTAAAATTTTCAACTATTTATTTCGAAAATAAAGTTATCGCTATCAATTAAAGGTAAATATTGTGATTTCCAATAGATTTTCTCAAACACATTTGAATTATCTGTAATTATATGAATTAAATTGCACAGACACATGCTTGTATGTCCTAAAATTGTACCTCAAGATTTTAAATTTTAATGAATTGATAACGATTGACTCATCGCATCACAAAAGTAACTTTTTACACTATAATATTAATATACACTATAATTACGACTATAATATTTTTAAAAACTTTGATGAATTTTTAAAATTAAAATACTTGCCGTAGAAACGTATAATTTTAGTATGTTTTTCAGGAAAATGAATTTATCTAGCAACATAAAACGTTTCATCAACAATTTTTTTCAACAGTTAGATGTGATGAAGCAACTCTGCCGATCTTTATCTAAAACTAATCAGCACGACTCTCAAATAATATTTCTTGAATATTTTTGAATTTTTAAAACGATTCAGAATTTTGGGTTAAAACCTGAACGGAATTTTTTTCACTTTTCTGCTAATTACAAAATAACGGCTTGGCCGATCGTATCAAAAATCTAATCGACGCGAGTGCTTATCAAGTTTCATTGAGTGGTTTTTAAATTTTTAGAATCGAATCAACCGTTTTTCAGAAAACGTCGATGAAAGGTCTAATTTCACCAAACGTTAAAAAAACGCTTCTCATTTTTCAAACTTTGATGAATTTGTAACATAAAATATCCATAAAACTATTTGTTGGAGAACCGTAATATTTTAGTTTGTTTTATTAGACTATGATATCTATCGCCAAAAAAGGTTTCATAAAATTCGCTAAAAAATTTTTTTCTACACTTAATTACAAGAGAACGGCCCAGTAGATTTTTATCTAAAACTAATCAGTATCATTCCGAATATCTTTCGAACAGTTTTTGATTTTTTAAGATTCAGGATAGTGAGCTAAAACATGGAAGAAAAGTTATACAACTTTATGCAAATTACTAAGACTAAGAAACGTCTCGTCCGATCACCGCACAAAACTAAGAAACTATAATCGAGATACATAAAATGGCTTTTAAATTTTTGAAATCAGTTAGGCGTTTTTAGAGAAAACGCCGAAAGGTCTTAATTTTGACAAACGCCAAAAAATGCGACTAATTTTTACAAACTTTGACGAATTTTCAGAGTTAAACGAGTTGTTGTAGGGCCGTAATATTTTAGAATGATCTAGAAGACCATGATATCTAATGCTAAAAAAAATTAATAAAAATCGTCAAAAAAGAAAAAAATTAACAGTTAATAAGCTAAAATATGCAATAAATCAGTAGTATTTTTATAATATGGCAAAATATAAAGATCACACACCTTACTTTTTCGGAAATAAATAATTTAATTAGCGTTTCTTGGAACAAAATTGGTACTATCAAAATACGCAAAGTTCAAAGGAAATCTAATGTGGACAAATAAATAGTAGACATAAAATAACGGGGCTACTGAAATCTGAGGGTCTATGTGATTTCACATCATGAAGACAAACTAAAATGTTAGCCCAGTATCTGTCAGATCAGCTGCGCCCGACGGAGGGTTAAAATCGATTCAGTACTGCGGGCAAAACGTGGACGTAATTTTTTTCACTTTTCTGCTATTTACAAAGAAATGGCTTGGCTGATCGTCGCGCAAAACTGATAAATGCTAGTCTTCATCCAGATACAGCAAATGGTTTTAAATTTTTGAAATCGGTCCAGCCGTTTTTGAGAAAACGTCGATTTATTTCAAAAATCTTCAAGACACACGCACACATACATTTTCCAGGTTTGGTCTCATTCGATTCAGATTGGGTTGAAACGTTGAGAGAACATAAAATTTGGGAATTGATTTTTTTTATAAAAACAAACTTCTCCTTCGGGAAGTTAATAAATTGATTTTGAAAATTCGCGCGTAATGCGCCTCATGTACATTTGATCCATACTCTTCTTTTATCTATGATTTGATCTTCCATGTTTATATCTACGTCATGAGAGGTTATTGCTCGCTATGGCTCAATGGCTGTCATGGCTGTCATGGCTGTCACTTTGTCATCTTGCCTAGACAAATAATAATATTAATTTTGCCTAGACAATATAATAATATAATAATTGGTCATCTTGTCAGTGCAATAATAACTAACATAGAATGTTAACTTATTCATTCGTTATTCATAGATAATAATTTTGGAAATAAAGGCGCTTATTATTAATTTAAATACTCAAAATATTATGTTTGATTGATAAAACAGTTTAAAGTTTACAATGGATGATAAATGCAACTCCTTATTAACCTGGTTTAGGTTGCTTGAACCAGATGCCCATCATTCTTCTCTATCCGACTTAACGGATGGTGTTGCTATGTCTCAAGTTTTAAGTCAAATTGATCCAGTTTTTTTCTCTCCTTCATGGGGCGAAAAAATTAAAACTAACGTAGAAAACAATTGGAGACTTAAGGTCAGCAATCTGAAAAAAGTTATTGAACGTGTAACTGATTATTGTACTGATGTTTTGAATCTTAATGTGCATGATTATGCCAAACCCGATGCTTTGAGAATAGCTGAGGGAGGCGATGTAGAAGAGTTGGCTCGCCTTCTACAACTCATATTGGGTTTGTCTTCAAAATTGAATTAAAAATTCCTTTAATCATTACCACTTGCATCATTCTTTAACTTATGATTTACATAAAATTTTAGGTTGTGCAGTCAACTGTGAAAACAAAGAAACTTACATAACTCAAATCATGGGTTAGAAGAAGCTTGTCAGAGAAATATTATGTGCGCTATACAGGAACTAGAGGCAATGACACCCATTCGAGTAAAACGATCAAAAAGTCCAACGAATGATGTTGGTCTAATTAATGACAAGATTAGATTATTGGTAGAAGAAAGAGATATATTAGCTCAAAGATGCCATGATCTCGATCGACAAGTGTCTTGTCTTACAGATGAAAAACTTTCATTAGTGAATGATTTACAAAAGCTACAAAGTCAATATAAGTGTTCAGATACTGCTCCTTTAGGTATGTCCTTACATTTATTCAGACAACATCTCTTATTGATTATACAGTACTTAATTAATCGGACTAATTGTTGTTGATACGCATTTGGATAATCGAAAATTTGGGTAATTGAATGTATGAAGAATTATGTTGTGTATTTATTAAATACATATAATAAGGAATGCATACATAGATATCAAAGTAAATCATGTTTATTAAGAAATTGAAACTTTCTTATCTATGTACATATATATTTTCTTTGCAAAATTCGAATTGTAAGTATGTACATACTAGAGATGGGCTTATTATATCTGAAGCCAGATTGGTTCGAATTGCTTAACAACTCCACGGCTCTGACAACTTTGAAACCGAAATTCTCGACACAAATGTGTTCTATGGTGCATTGTTTATCTATCTATTCAAATCCCATTAATTATTTGAAATTCTTTTATAAACAGTTCAAACATTTTTGTTGATATTATTATAAAAAGTCACAATTTTAAGCACGGAGACCTACTAACAATTAGCTGGTAAATTATTTAATAATTTTTTGCTATAAAAAGTCTACTAGGCATTGCGTGACCAGAAAATTTATGAATAAATATCAATAAAACAATTTTTCTAAAAAATTCTCAGATAAATGACGTATTGTAAAATTTTTCGGTCAACCAGATGATCGACTCAATGACTCGTAATTTAGCAGTGTTGACCAAAGTAAAAACGCAAAACTTGAGAATTAAATGCTATTTAATTTTTTTTTTTGATGATAAAAATTATTATTAATTATTTGGATTAATTTTATATAAAATAATGTAGTAAACTTGAGACAAAACATCATAAAATATTTTCACCAAATGATAATACTTGTGCTTTCTAAATTTTTCTTCTGCTATTTTCATTCGAGAATTAATATTATTGGGTAGTTCGATTAGCATATTATTACTTTTACACAATTGTATAACTGTGTAAAAGAAATAAATAATACTAAATATTTCTGCTGCTTAAATATTATTGATATCACTGATCAATTTGCACTCTAAAATATTGTTATTTCAGGCTATAGAAAAACCAGATTAAATGTATTTCGTTTCGTGTATTTTTCGATATGCATATTCCTGATTGCCGTCATTCACGGCCAAAGATTTTCGTAGTTAGAAATATGACCCCTTACTATTCAATAAATTATACATTTGAGCTATTCACACTTGAACACAATTTCATTGTTTTGTATCGTTAAAGTAATATTTTTGTATTTTCTGAAAAAAAAGTATACCTAAAAGGTCATAAACTGCCTGTGATACGAGAAAGCATTAGCTTCTTTCCGAAAGCAAAAAGTCTGCACGAGTTAACAGATTTTACCAGTTTAGGAAAGTCAGTAATGACGAAATCTCTGGCACAACTCCGCCGTATTCACTCTGAGGGAGAAGTTGTCGGAGTGATACTCCGGAGTGAGTTACCCATCTCTAGTACATACATATAAATTGGTCGCTGTGGGAGTCCGGATAATCGCAAATCTGTATAACCGAGGTCTTGGTTCGACTAGGTTGACTGTGTGTCATCAATTTAT